TTTAATTTATATTCAATACAGATACATCAATCCAGAGTTCAACGTCTCTGTTGTTCAACAATAGCTTTGAGTACAACTGAGGGCTGTGAGCCAGATCCTCTTGTTCAAACACACACATTTAGATGGCTTTTAAGCAATTTCACTAGAATGTGTTAGGAGTTCTTTAATTTACTCCTTCCTGCCCATACTGTATTCCTCTTAAAGCAACCTCTGTTTTCTGAGTAGTTCTGATTTCCACTAAAATCATTTTCAGGTATTTAATTAGAAGTAAACTGAAATACTTCTCCCTGTGATTCAAGCTAAGTACAAAAGGGCAACAGAATTCGAATGCTGAATTTTACTGCTGCAGAAAGTAACATTTTAGTGATACCCAAGCAACAGTCTGCAAAATGCTTCTACCAATCATTCTTCATACCTATAAGAAAACATATACTACCCCAAACCCATCAGTCCTCCATCGATTATCTGCTAATTGGGGCTCTGGAAACTCATCTTGCAGTATTACTTCAACATTTAGCCGTGAATATTTCTGTATATATAATATTCTGGTGTTACCCAGCATATCTTAATTATTAAAATACTTTTTCAAATGTATTCCATTAATATTTACTTTGCTCCCGCTGCAGTTCAGCACACAGTTCTGTGGAAAACTGATTAAAAATATAGTTGCACGAAATACATGAAAATTAAATTTGCTAGTCTCAAAATATCAAGATTTTATGGACAACGTGGCAAAGCTCAGTGCTGTACTGTAGAGTATAAATATTTACAATGGAGTTTATGTATTAGTAGTTAAATGCTGTGGGATGTCCTCGTCCTCCCAAGTGAATCCCCACCTGAAGACACTGCAGTGTGTCAGTGACAGCACAGAGTTGTTTTATCTGAACTCCTGCACAGGGGGCCGTGTCATTCCCATCCCAGAGCGACTAGGGACCTGTGGAACAACCGCTGCTGATAAAGGGGACTGACGGGAGCCAACGGGAAGAGGAAAACAACTTCAAGATGAAAAAAGCTTTCCCTGCTCTCCAGCTCAGGACTGTGCTTTTCAGACCCAGAGCCTGCCCTGGGGCCTGTTCCCCGCTCTGACACAGTGGGGTTCCCACTGTCTGTGTCAGTAAACGGGACACGGCTCCGAGGTCGGGGCCAGGAACCAGCAAATTCACTCTGAGATGTAAAAATAACTGAATCATCGAGTGCTTTGCTTGGAAGGATCTTAAACCTCACCCCATCCCACCCCCTGCCATGGGCAGGGACACCTTCCACCAGCCCAGGTTGCTCCAAGCCCCATCCAACCTGGCCTTGGACACTTCCAGGGATCCAGGGGCAGCCACAGCTTCTCTGGGCAACCTGTGCCAGGGCCTGCCCACCCTCACAGGGGAGAATTCCTTCCCAATATCCCACCTAACCCTGCCCTCTGTCAATGTGAAGCCATTCCCCGTGTCCTGTCACTCCAGCTCCTGATGAACAGTCCTTCCCCAGCTTCCCTGTGGATCCCCTCTGGAAGGTGCTGGGAGGTCTCCACACAGTTTCTCTCCTCCAGGCTGGACAGCTCCAGCTCTCTTGGCAAACTTGGAACTTGGGAACTTGAAAGGTTTGAGCAATCCCACAGTCCAGCTTCACACGAGCTGTGGGATGACCCTGGGATTCCAGCCACTCCAAGGAGCTTTGGGAAGTACCTGAAGCTCTACAGGAAGCTGAGCTGAAAGTCAGTAGCAACAAAAGAAATTACACTGAAATGGCACCATCCATGTGGTCCTGCCGGGCTCATACCCAAGCCAGAGCAGAACCACGTGACTCTCTGTGCACAATCACAAGATTACCCAGCAGAATGTACCCTTTAATCAAAAACCAAACCCTTGTAAAATGACGACTTATCCAACATTAATTTTCAAAGTAGTGATAGTAATAGTAACTAACAACATGGAACTCCTCAGTGTCCCATCTACAAATTAACTAAAGAACTTGTTACGGGGAGAATAAATATCACACACAGGCCAGTTGAAAAATGATCTGACAAACATGATGCCTCCAGAGGAATGAGTTTGCAGTTAAACCAGACAGGTTAATACCCTACTTACATCCACAAGACACTCACACTGCTCCCTTGTAGCTGCTATGACTTGAGACTAAAAGCTTTAACCAATAAAAACCATTAAACCCAGGCAATAAAACAATGTCAACCACAAGAGACCACATGACTATGGATCAATACATGGTATTTCCTTTAGAAGTCATGTCATAAGGTTTTCAGTCTGAAAATATTTTTTTTCTGCTTTAAAGACACAGAGAAAAAAAAGAAAAAAAAAAAAACCAAAGCAAACTTGGTCACTTCTACATTTAAAGAATCCAAACCAGAAGGCAACAAATAGAAGAGATTCATGGTGAAATCACTACCAAAATGATAAAAATGAAACATGGAAAACTGTGGTATGTCATGGACATGGGTATGTCTTTGTAGGGCCAGTGGGCTCAGGTTCATCCACAGCTACATGTAGTCTTTAAAAAGATAGATCTTTTTAAGTAACAATGCACCAGATACTCTGTAGGGCTTCTTTTACCCACCATACAGTAGGAAGATTAATACTAATGAAAGTAATTCCTTTCCAGGGTTCAGGTGTTACAGGAGCAGAATCACTAGGCCAGTACCATCCTACACCCAGAAAGGCAAAGCCACCTTGCCATGAAGCACAATCTCCCCCAGGAATCAGCTTTTTGTGCTCTCAGCTCAAGGCAGGGGGCCCAGGCACAGCTTTCTGGGGCTGTGAACTCCTCCACACCCATGAAGAGATTGTCAGAGATGGGGGTTTTTATCCCTCACCGCATCTTCATCACTGTGGTGACTGACATGTTTTCCAACACATTATTCAACATATTCATGAATATTCTTCATATTCTTATAGTACTTAAGTATCAAAAAATATTCTGCAGCAAAGGAGAGCGAGCTCAAGACAAAGGTCAAAGAACATCCATAGAAGTTTAAAGAAAGACTTATTTCTTGTTCGTTTTCTGTCAAACCCCTTCCCCCTCAGCCGTTTGCAATGTCTCTGATCAAAGCAGAGCCTCCTCCCTTCACTCTTACATTCAAAGAAAGCTGAGGGTGAACTTGCCACACAAGTGCTCTGTACCAAACCCCAGGAGGGTTCCTGAGCAGGTTCCCCCCTGCCAGGCTGTGTCAGTGTGTGCAGGTGGGATGCAGAACCTGTGAGCTCCTGCTGTCCCTCTGCTGCTCAGCCTGCCCTCCTGAGCAGGGGGATGAGCTGCCCCTGCCTCACAGTCCTTGCAAAGCCTCATTTATGAGGTCTGACAGAGATGGAAAGACAAAGCAGATCCCTGGACACTCCAGCCCCGTGATTTTCCACTTCTACAGTTCTTCCTCTCCATGTTATTACTAAAGGCATGGGGCTGTTATATCTACACAGTCAGTACATTTATCTTACCCAAACACAGTCCAGCCAGGCAACACCACAGTTTGTTTCTTTATGAAAAAGAGCAAAAAAAAAAAAAAAATATAAACCCATGATGAAACCTTAATTCTTAACTGAATGACCCCTTTGACATCAAATTACTGTGATATTTCAATTCCTTGTGCCTTAACAGGGCAACAGCTTTATCTCTCTCAATGTTAAAGGCCTTGGGAAGTGAGATGGGCAATCAAAGTAATAGAAAAAGCAATACAGAATGTCTATAAAACTGAGCTGAATATCCCCAAATGTTTTCTCAGCAGGTTGGCTGTTACAAGCTCAGGCACCTGGATAGTAAATTACTGCAGTTTGATTTGTGTAACAGGTATTTTGTGTGTGGTTACCAAATTAGCAGAGACAATCCAAAAATTCCCCACAGTCACTGGCCCCCACATTCTAGTTTGGAAACGTCATTGCAAGTTTACTTGGGAAGGAGCTTTGAAGGGCAGTTTTCCAGAAACAACTTAAAATACATTTTCATGGGTCAATTTCTGAAGAATATTATTGTTTCTATTCTGAATTGTTTGACCTTCATGTTATGAAAATCAAAGTCATGCAAAGCCTTTTTTATATAAACTGAAATTAGGAAAATGTCACTTCTTACATTGTAACAGGGGTCCAGAGGCTCTCACACACATATACACACTGCATTTAAACTCCCAGCCAATTTTCTGTTCCAGTAATAGAGGAAAAGGGAAGATTTATGGCAAGAATAGTTTCCATTTCTTTCTCCATGATTTGATTTTTTTTCTCCCTGTTATCCACATATCAGAGAGAATATATTCAAGTAAAACAACCATAATAATAAAATAAAAAAAAGAGAGGTGAACCTTTATTGGATGTAGGAACAAATCTCCTGGGCCTACTATCTGCTTTTTTTTTTTTTTTTCCTTTGTAAAAAAAATATAACTTTGGTAGGGACAGGAGGGTGTAATTAGAGCACATGTTTTGGGCAAACAGGAAAAAGTGGGGTGAGGAATTTTTCCTGCTGAGAGAAAGCATCAGGTCAGAAAGAGGACAAGAAAAAATTCTCCTCCATGTTACCTTAGCTCTTCTAGAAGCTGAAAGGTTTTCATCTCCCATGATTCGAAGTCAAGAAATTCAAGAACAGAATGACCAAATGGACCTTAATGAGAAATGAAATACCTGGGCTATTTTCCCTGTCACTAATCTGTACCACAAACTCCTCCTGCTTTGGTACTTTCCCTCCTTCTCCCACTGCTTATCTTGCAGTGTAACGAAAGGTCACCTTTATTAAAGACTGTTTCTGCCTATTTTGAGCTTGAAAATCAGAATTCAGCCACCACATTAAAAAATCCTCCTGCTACTGATTGTGCAGGCGCCACAGTCACAGACAGGTCAAACAAAATGACACGGGGAGAGAGAGAGAGGGGAGAGATAATATCTCAGAACCCAAAGGTGAGGACAGGAAGGTGCTTCATGACAGCACATACCCTTCCCAGCACATACAACTCTATCATTACTACAAGCCAAATGATTCATAATTATAGACCTCAGTCGTTTTTTAAGGTATTTTAAATGTTTATTGATTTGTAAAGGCAGTATGACTCGAAATTGTGCTGACCTTGGAAAGGCTGAGAAGGCAGAATTCTTCCCATTTTTACCAAATGAGCTCCAACAGCTGCAGGAGCATCACATCCCTGAGATGAGAGCCCTGGAAAGGCCACTCACAGCCCAGCCTTTGGTCACCCTCGGACACGACATCAGACTCGCTGTTCCAGAAGAGTCCAGACACTCAGGGTTTGGAAGGGATGAGCATCTGATCCACCTGGGGAGGAATTAAAAAGCATTTTGTGGCCAAGGAGGGATGGTGAAGGAAGCAATATTCCTTAGAAGGAAATTTTTGTTTCCGTTGGCCAGATCAAAGGCTGAAGCTCAGACAGGAGAGAGAGTTTGAAAGCACTCAAAAGACTGCAAAATGCAGAACATTCCAAACAAGCGCTGGTAAGACTTTTGTATCCTCAACCATCTCTTATATTCTGTCAAAAAAAGTATTTATTGAAAGATGAAAAGGAGTTTTAAAATAGATTATTGAGACTATTTTTGGAGCCTGTGCCCATAAGCCCCTGTTCTACAGTGAGTGCCAAGACTGAGGGCTCAGAGGGAGAGGAAAAAATGGGAACTAATAAATTCAGCTTTGCTTTTGAGTAAGGCACCCCCTCCCTGCCTCATGCTGATAAAACCTTTATGCCACTCTATGGCATATTCCCCCTCTCCCTCAATTTTAATTTGAGTTTTTCCCACATCATATGTAGCATATGCAGAATACATGATGGTGCCTGGAATAAAGGTTTCATTAGCACTCATTTGGGATGCAGCAGAACTCCCTTATGATTTCACAACATGGAAGGGAGGGAGCCATTCCAAATACCTCCTGCTGAAACATTTATTATGCAACCAGCTATCACCCACTTTCTCCTTCACTCTCCACCCACACACTGCCTGCCCCATTACAAACTCAATTTTGTTTAGCTCCTAAGAGCTGAATAAACAGACTCCAGCCATCTATGCATCCAGGCCCCATGTCTTGGTGTAGATTAATACCATTTTAACTCCTCTATTTTAGTGGGGGTTCGCTGATGGGTTGGAAGAAAATAACTAAGATGACTCTGCTTAAAAAAAAAAATTGATAAACCTCATTCTTATTTAAATGAACTTTCAATTTTTGGTTGTGTTGGTTTTTTGTTCTGTTGGGTTTTTTGTTGTTTGTTTGTTGGGGTTTTTTTTCCGTAGAAATACTGTTTTAAACTATTACAAGAATTCAGTTAACATTTTACCTTTAAATATCAAATTCTGAGGAATCTGCATATTAGAAGAAGTTCCCCCTAAAAGTTGAAAATCTTACCGTTTTAGCAAGATGCAATTGTGGGTCTTTATTTTGCAGGCTGTGGAAATGAGAAGGAAATGTATATTTATTTTAGCTAATGGGTGAGTGAAAAACCTCAGGAAGATGTCTTTGAATGGATCTGTCATTTTAAAGTTAGGCACTATACATAGTCCCTAATTGTACTGGGGAGAACTGTGCTGGTATGAAAAGCTATTAGGTAGAGTAAGAAACTTTAGGGTGGAATGCAGTGTTAATGAGAGCTCATTATGTTATTGCAAATTTTGACACACTGCATGTTTTTCCTACAGTCCCAGCTCCCCAAGCAAAGTTTTAGTTCTCTAAAAGGGTGAAGCAAAATTATCCTTCCCCTTCTGTCTCCAAAAATAAAAGCCGAATAAAAGGATACATACTTTAGATCCCTATTACTTAAAACCACTCTATATATTTAAGATAAAGCAATTTATGGCTTCCAAAAAGTATGATTAAAAAAAACCAGAGAATATTTAATATCTAGCACCATAGAAAACAGCCAGGAATTGCCTCTCAGGGAAGATGAACCTGCCACTCCCTGGTAAGAGGCTTCACCACACAACTCATTTGTTCAGTGTTTGCTTTCCAGCTTTACCTACTGCAGGAAACACGAGACCATTATTTCTGCTGATTTCAAAACTAACAGTGATTTAAGAAGGTAAGGTATTTTTATTAGTTTTAGACAGTTTCTTAATGACATGATTTATGGAGGTTATTTTGGAATGTTACAAAAATGCACATAGACTGCTCTGTGTGGATACACTGGTCCTGGGTAGCTTTTTAGTTACAGGTTCTGGAGGAAGATGGGCTTTTCATACAGATTTAGTTACAAGTTGAAGCATCTTAAATAAAAAGTGTGAGTTTTCCCAGTTCTTCTTAACTTTTCTGATATTAAACAGCATTGGAGCAAATAAGATTTCCTGTTCCATTCAAATGTCTGATTGAATGAAAAAGTGGAAAATTGTAAACAGAACAAAAATTACATCACGATGAAATTGCCTGATCTACATTTTTATCTGTTGTGAGCCCATATAAAAAATCAAATTAAAATAAAATAATAAACCCCCCACCAGAAAACAAAACAAAACAAAACAAAAAACCTACAAACCACAAAAGAAGAACTTCTAGGACATATCTTTGGATGACACTGTGCTTCCCTCTTTACTTTCAAATATTCATATCAGCTGAACAGTCAATATTCATATACTTGAACAGGCAAATGTATGACCACCATAGATTACAGATGATTATTTTATAGCCTTTTTAGAAGAATACACATCCTTTCTTCATCTGCTGGATGACTAAAGGAAACTGTCTCATTATTACAGCAGTAACATCACAGTGACTGTATCAAACCTGATCAAAATTTAATTCTTCCTTGTCTAACAGCTGGACGAGAAATGAGATCTAGTCTGGATCTCAGCTCACAATGAGATTTTTCTGCCTATTTGCATCCTTTAACATACTTTATTATTTTCCCCCCTGAAAATTAGACGTGATTTAGAGTATTTCTTTTTTCTTTCAATGCTCAATTTAAGGCATTCTTGTGTGCAGCACTCCAGCACGAGTTTGTTTTGAAAACTTAAGTTCACCCCTCTGTACAGTCTAAATTCAGTCAAATTACTGCTGCTGCTGAGCAGATAATGCACAACACAGAAAAATCCCTGAGCAGCCACAGATGCACTTCTGTGCCGTGCAGAGGTGAACACAAAGGCAGAAACCAATGCTGCATGATGTGGTTACACACACTGGAAAGCAGAGCACACACTCCTGCTTTGCCTGGGCTCGGGATCCAGCCTGACTGCCTCGCTCCCCACAACAGGCTGGTAAAGGATACAGGGCGGGGAAAAGGCTGGGAAGTTCATTCTGGTTTATGTAGGCTCTAAAACAAGAGGAGTCTAATTCTAATTGGCCTTTTTGGGCACTACCTAAATCAAGAAAGAGTGGCAATAATCATCCATACTTGTTCCCACCAGCCTTTCTTCCTGTTCTTTCTTGTGTCCTTCACCAACAAGATAAAAAATATTTTTTCTGTTCATAAATAACAGGTTTGGTTTGTACTGCAAGTCTTTAGGAGGGGGCTCTCATTAACTTTTCCTAAACTGCAATTCCTCCATTCTGTGGGTCTCAGGTGATGGCACAGCTCAGTGTCCCCCCTGGATACAGGGGTTTTCCACATAGGTGTAGGAATTGCTGATACAACTAAGAAAAAAACAACCTCCCAAATCAAAACCAAGAGAAGTCCCCCAAAAACGCTTCAAATAAATGAGTTTTCCAGGTGTTTGACAAGAACTGTCCTGTTCAGACGCTCTTCAAAGTGATGTCTCTGGGTTGGCACCGTGGTGCTTCTCTCCAGTGACTCTGGGGCCTGTGCTGTAAATGCAGGGCACACTCCTCTGCAACACAAACAGAGCCTGGCCCTGGGTAAAGCAAACCCTACCAAAACAAAGTGCTCTGCTGCACACACCATTCCCCCTCAGGGACAGAATCAGGGAACAGAATACACAAGACAGATGTAACTCATGTTGCTTAATGCATTCCTGAAGGCACTCGTAAAAACCCTATTTTAAAACCAGAGTAATTTCCTGATCTTGCTCTTTTTTTTTCTCCACCACAGCAATAACAACTCATTTAGAAACTGAAGATAAAGTTTAGTACCATTACACTAATCATCCCGTGTTAGGGAAATAAGAACCCAGTGTTTTTTAAAAGGGTCGAAAAATTCTCAGGTCAACCAAAGCCATGAAAATCCACCAGAGGTAAACAAGGTCTGGTGCTTTCAGAAGGAGGAAACATGAGGCCTCTAATACCTCACACTTTATATTTTGTTAAAGGAAGATAAATTCATTTGAAGGAAATATCTTGATTTTGTTTCTGCACAAACTCAGGAAAGTTCTTATTTGCATAACCTTAAGTATACACTGGCACACATTTACTTAAACAAATATTACTGTTTAGCACAATTTTTCTTTATTTATATGGTTTTTTCCCCTTAATGAGCAGCGATGACAACAAAATAAGTGACTAATTTGACTACAAGCCCATTTGCTTAAATGATAAAATACAATGCTGGAGATAGGAGATAGTTTCACCCTTTGCTAATATATTTTAAAAATATCTTAGCTGTACCTTGGGTGACTGTGAAAGCCATTCACTGCTTCTCTATATTTATTTACAAATAATCAAACTATATTTTGGACACGATATAGTAAATCTAAAACTCTTGGGCCTTTTTTAGCTTTACAGTGAGATTTATAGCACTGCAGGCTGGTACAGCCAAGGGTCGAACCCCTGTTCTGCCCATTCATCACATGTCAAGCTCTGAGAACACTGCCTGACACAGGATGCAAATCCAGCTGGGAATTGCCACAGCAAAGGGCTGCAGTGCAGCACAGTCAGACCCTGCCCTCATCCTTGGCACAATTTACCTGCATTCAGCTTCCAATCTCCACATTAATAACCAAGCCTTCCATTCAGAGGAGTTTTTAATAGAACTCCCACATATTGACGTGTGTTACAGAATTCCAGCCTAAAAATGGAGAGGAAAAAAAGAAGCCAAACTAGAATAAAAACAATAAATAAATCAGTAAAGTTTAGTCACTAAATTCAGTCATATTATACATTATTTTTATGTCAAGCTTTAAAGTACTGTCTGCAAACATATGTGATTACTGAAAAACACATAATCACAGAAGGGTTTGTGTGGGAAGGATCTTAAAAGATCATCCATGGGCAGGGACACCTTCCACCAGCCCAGGGTGCTCCAAGCCCCGTCCAACCTGGCCTGGGACACTTCCAGGGATCCAGAGGCAACCACAGCTTCTCTGGGCAACCTGTGCCAGGGCCTGCCCACCCTCCCAGCCAGGAATTCCTTCCCAATATCCCATCTATCCCTGCCCTCTTTCAGTATCACACGGGAGGCAGAAATCCTCCTCCAGGGCACTCTGTTTGGGGCAGGGGTGGGGTGAAGAAACCCCCAGTCCATAAGCACCCTTTGTATTTTACCCACACAATTAACATGGACTATTCCCCTTGGGTGTGGGTTGCACAATCACTGAATTTGATCCAGAAAATTGTACAGTTGCTCAGGCTGCATCAGTCAAGCCCAGCTCCAGCGAACATTAACATGCTGTGTAACATGCAAAATAAATGATGTGTTCTACTACCACAGGCAGAGCTATTATGCTTTGTCTGTACAGAAAGCTTAAAACACAGCCTTTCCTCATTTGTATTGCATGCAAGCATGGCATTGTGCTAAAGAGTTCTTGACTTAGGGATTAAAAGTTAGCTGGATAGGAATGTGGAAATTTCTTCTGCAAAGCATTCTGGTGTTCTAAATAAATTAACATGCTTTCATTTCTTTCAGAAAGAAAGCTACAGAAATGGTGTAAAATCTTGGCATGTTTCTGAAAACATAAATCATGAAAGTAGGGTTTGTTAGATACAGATGACTGTTGGGTGGGCATTGCTCAGGACTTGGTCATAAACCCACATTTTTACTTTCCCTATGGCCCACCCTCTGGGCAATATAGGGGCTGCCTTGATCATTAAACAGATGATTTGCAGATTGCATCTCTTTCTCTCTCACACATCTAATCTGATCTCAGAACAAATTTATCAGAACTAAACTTCCATGTAACACTGTATTTATTAAATACAGTTATTTACACTGGAACTACAAATCTGTATTTAAATATAACCAGTTGAAGACTGCTACTCCAATCCCACACTGGTTTGGGTTGGAAGGGAACTTAAAGCCCATCCACTCCCACCCCCTGCCATGGGCAGGGACACCTTCCACCAGCCCAGGTTGCTCCAAGCCCCGTCCAGCCTGGCCTTGGACACTTCCAGGGATCCAGGGGCAGCCACAGCTTCTCTGGGCAACCTGTGCCAGGGCCTGCCCACCCTCACAGCCAACAATTCCTTCCCCATATCCCACCTAACTCTGCCCTCTGGCAGTGGGAAGCCATTCCCTGTGTCCTGTCCCTCCAGGCATTTGGAAATAGTCTCTCTTTTCAGGTTTCTTTAGCCAGATGTCTCCTGGGATCCCACCTCGCCCAGCTGACAGAGGAAAACCTCAGGCCACGGAAATGAGAGCACGAAGCATAAACTGGATCTGGCTCCAAAAGAGATAGTTTTGAGAACCATTGATTTCTGCACAAATCAGTGTTGAAATCCAAAATTCTAGTAGAAAACAGAGTAAAAAAAAAAAGGCAAATAATGTGAAGGTTTCCCAGGCAGCAGGAGGGTCAGGGACAGTGGCTGCTTTGGAGCCCTCACTGACGTGGGCAGGTGGGTCCCATCGTCTGGCATTGCCATCAGTGACCATTTACCAGCTGACGGTGTTGGGTACAGCACTACCAAAAAGCTAAAGGTGTCCTTAATCTGCCAGTTCTGAGAGAGGAAATCTGCACACCTGCAGGTCTCAAAAATGTGGCAACAGCTGTCTAACCCCAAATGTGAGCCCCCAGCCCCAGAGCCCTCAGGTACAGTAAACCCTCCCAGTTGTATCCAGACCAGAAAATGGCACATGCCCTCCATCCCACTAAAAATTCAAGAGTCCAGAGTGCTCAACCCCTTCCTAGCCAGGCCATTTGTCACCCAAATGACCCCTCACCCAAGGAGCAGCAAAGCGACACGTGCCCAGATGATGTGCACACCTTTCTAAGGCTATTTTAGGCTCACAAAACCCAACTGCCTTACAAAGTCCTGCCTCTGGGTAATTCAAACCATTTTACCAGGCTGAGGTTCTTATATTGGTTTTATAAATGTCTTAAGGGATAGAAAAATATATTCCATGAGCTAGAGATTCACTGAATATGCTATGATGGTATAGAGTTCTCTTAGGCCCAGACTAAAATAAAAGAGCTATAATTGGTCTCTTGTCCATATTTAAGGTAAAATAAGTGCCTGGATTTTCAGAAGCACAGAGCTCAAATCACTCATAGTGAATTTGGAAAGTGCTGAACAATTTTGAAAATGAGGACAAACTTTTTTTCAGCCTAAATATGAATAAGAATCTAACCTGAGGCTTCAGTTCCTGAAAATCCTACTGCTCTATATTTGTTTTTCACTTCTCTTCTGCTTTTACACCCATACACAGGAAAAAGTCTCATCTTTCCTGCCTCCCTCCTGCTTTTAACCAATTCTTTTCACAGTGGAGTCTGTCTATGTATACGAGTCAGCCCCCCATATCCATGCAGTTAAGTAAAATTCTGTAGCTACACTAATGAAGTTCAGCCTTTTTTACCTAAAGTATGGATAGGATTTTGCAGAAAGAAAACCATGATAAAAGCAGGGGGTTCATATAAAGTATCCACATCCAACAGTTCCAGTTCACAATTCAATTACTCAATATTCCATTGGGAAGCACATCACATTCTCCCTGCCCCATGTTTGCTATTTACTGCTAAAAGAAAAGATTAATATCTGCAATGAAGAATCTGTAACATTATAGGTACAACACTTTTTCCTTCTGTGTTTAGAGCAACATGATTCACCAAGGACTCTGAGAGGCTGCTTCAAGTGTTCCGAGGTGGGAGTTGTAGAAACTTCAGTTTTCAATTAATAATTGCAGTTGAACAGGCACAATAAGGGAGAACTCTAACGCTTTTTAAGCTTGCCTGGCTATAATCAACTTATAATTATTAGAAATAAAGATTTGTCTACGTGGCAGATGAATCTAGAGTGTTTCTGTATTTCCCAAACTGTCAGCATCTTTTCTGTAGTCTCTTAAGGCCCTTTAAATGCACAGTTTGAGGGGAGAGATACAGCTCTCCCAGCTGCCTGTGTGCAGGGTACAGCCACCTCTACTTTCCAACAGAAGATGAAAACCAGAGCAGAAATTTCCGTTTGCCACGTTTCAGAGCATAAATCTTTGTCTTACAGTATTTATCAGAACTGCCCTTAGTTATCAAGTTCTGTAAAAACTCTCCACAAGCAGAAGAACAGACACCAGCTTCCATTCTCCTGCAGAGACAGAACACCCTGGACACAGAGCTGTGCTTCATTGCTGTCACCATTGTAGGGCACAGCAGCACACGCACCTTGCTGGTTAGAAACACACAGCTTCTTATTTCCTGGATGACTTTCCCTATGAGTGTTGAGCTGAACATTAAAAGTGCCCCAGGAATTCGACAGGGAATGGAAATGACACTGGGCTGAAGTGAAAGGGCTTTAAGTGACAGAATAATTAAACTCCATTACTTCATGTCTAAATATGCAGCAACTTAATCCAACTGATTGGAATTTGGAAGTTTTGTCCCATAGAAAATAATCATTTTTTCAACCGTTCCCCAAGTGAAAGAAGAAGGTTAAATATTAAGCAATTATGGAATTAAATATTAATAATGAAATGTCAGTTCTTGTATGGAATCAGATGTTCTAAAATCAGCAACATAAGAGGCAGTGCCCTGAACTCCAGGAGTCTGGATTTGGCTCCATTTACACACCTCTGAAGGTGGTTTTTTAATGTATCACCAAGGATTACTCAGGTAACAAAGTCAGGAAAATCATGGGAGTGGGATGGACACATAAATCTTGGAGCATGAATAGTTTAAAAATAAAACACAAATGTTGAGTGGCCCTTAAGCAAACTTGAATTGTTTGTTTTTTCACTACAACTCAAGATTTGTATAATTACCTTTAAACATTTCCAAATTTATAGTGAGGAGCATTGTTGAATAGAAAGCATATATTGCTGTCTTAAAAAATATAATTCTATCATTATACAGAACTGTCCCTAAATACAACAAGAACATTACAGATATTATGTTTGGGAAATAATTAGAACTATTCAGGCAGGTTTACCTTGCTATGAAGCCAAGGTTATAAAATAGCCAATAATGTTCCCAATATTTTGAGCTCTTGGTGCAACTAAAAGAACACAGAATTGTGTTTAATACAGTAATGGAAATTACTGATATAAGAAGGCAAGTATATATGTAAAACTTATATTCATTCCCATTGAACTACTTATCTAGAAAGTCAATATTTGAGGACTGAAGTTATTTGGTCCAAAATTATTTAAGTTGTGGGCAACTTAAACACCTTGTTGCTCAGTGTGGTTGTTGATCTCTAGCAGGGCCTGCAGATTACAATTTAAAAACATTGATCTATAACTACTGTATTGAAGTTGATAATATTTAAGTGAGATTTGGGTTTAAAATGTCAGGTAGGATTTTGAGGGAAGTTGAAGGGGACAAGAAGAAGGAAAGTTATACAATAACAGCTGACAAAACAATATTAAATTAAATACTAAGTTGGGCTTATCAGAAACAGCTGGATCCCCTGGGTCTGCAGAACTGAGCTGAAATCTTGCAAGAGCTCTGCTTCTGGTTAGAAACACTTCACAGACATTATTTCATTACATTTTAGCGTTTTAATTATCCCTCTGATTGGGACTCTGTGGGCATATGAAAGTGAAAAGAAAAATGAGCATGCTGTTTTTAGAATGCCCAGAAAGATTCCTCAGTCAAAGTTCAAATTTTCTATAAAAAAAATAAAACCCCACCTTCAGTTTCAGAATTGGATCTGAGGGGAAATGCAGGGGTTTATTTATTTTTTTTTTCTTTTTGGGTTTTGTAAGCCTATTTATTATCCAGACCTAGTCAAACTAATGAACCACAAAAAAAGGATATTAATTTTAGAACTCATCTAGCATTGTTCTGGGACCTGCTGCAAATGTCATCAATAATAGAAAATGTATCTAGCATGAAGGCAGCTTGTCAACAAGATGACTGAGTCCTGCACTCTTAAACTGGCTATTTTAGCTCACACAAGATCTTATTGACATCCATATATCTGAAACAGTCCTCTCAAACATAGTCATGAGGTTTGGCAAGTTCTAAAGCCAAGACAAACTATTGATCCACGCATTTCCAAAGGTCAATATTATTTATTTCCTTCAAGAGAGGAGCTGGTGAACTTACTGCAATGTGTGTCCTGGGTGTATGTCCAATAAGACAGCTCCTTGTACAGCACAGCCAATATTTTGATGAGAAATTTTAGTTGCTATTCGTTAATGCTCCACTTCGATGTTATTGAAGGGATTTCTCCAGGATAAACAGGGTTTCCAACTCATAGCATCTGGTTTTAAAGCAGATTGTCTTTGAAGCCCCACAGAAGTTCTGCTTCGACAGAGCTACTGGTCTGACATCCCATTTCATCAGGCTCTTGAGAGATTTGGGGGTGACCTCTGCCTGTCTGCCAGCTCTGCCTGCTGCAGGAGATTTCTCTCTAGAGGCACACACTGATATTGCTGGAAAGTGGCAAACCTCACTGTTACTATCACTTGTTTGGAAGCTCTTCCATCAGACCCTGTTGCTGTTTTCTTTCTACTAAGAGCTTTTCCCCAGGCTTTGCTTCTCTGTGAACAGCAATGCACAGCTTTTGTGCATACCCTGACTTTACCACCTTCTCCCCACAAGAAGAAAGTACAAACATCCTGAGTTCATGGTGAGATTTCATTTAGCAGCTGCTTCAATACACTCTGAGGCCAACAATAAGTTTCCATTGACCTCAGCACACTTTGATTTGTTTTTGGGGTTTTTTTTGGTTTTTTTGTTTTTCTGCAAAGCAACAAAGTTTGCAGGGAATGTTAGAAGATTCACTTTTGTTATTAGTCTTTTTTAAGACATGGTAAAGTTTGAGATGCAACCAGTAATTCGTAAGTCTGGTCTACTTGGTAATTTTTTATACAGTTTGTTATCTGCACACGAGAGCATAATTGTAAAACTGCCACTACCCTTAACTGGCTTTCAGGGATGGGGCAGCCACAGCTTCTCTTGGCAACCTGGGCCAGTATTCTAGAGATGAGAATGAAAACTAGAAGTATTTTTAGACACAAGGGGATAATTTTAGGGGCCAGCACTGCCATGAACATTTTAGTGCTCAGTACCCCGTCGACCAAGCCCAAACTACAAAATCCAGTCGTGATTTCGGACCACAGCACCAATTACTACATTCAGAAAGTTCTGAGACCTTTACTTTTGAACATGTGAGAAACCACTGAAGTGACTCTGACTCATATACAGGTGCTTAAATGTTCTCTCTTTCAGCATTTTTCTGGCAGTGAGTCTCAGCAAGGACAATGAGGTCACACTGGCATGTAAAAATAATTCACATAAAATTATCATTACTCATTAGAAGGAAGACAAATGATTGTATAGAATGGTGCTTTCCACAGGAATCCAAAAGGCATGGAATATAGGCCAAAATATCCAAAATCTGAGCCATTTATTTCTAATTATATTCCACTTTCAAGATTCAAAATATGTATTAGGCTAAAAAGTAAAATCCAGTGTATTTTATGCACAGGAACCATGAGGATTTGCAAACAGCACACTGATATCAGCTGCAGATTTCTTTTTTACTATTAAAAGAAAGCTCTTGCAGTGATGTGAGTGACATTAGACACTTGCTTTCTCAGTCACATCCAGGTGGTGTTTTCCTCTCTCTGAGTCAGTGGTGGGGGGAATAGTTTACTTTTATGTATATATATATATATATGTATACACACACACACACACACACACACACATATGCATATCTGTGCATACACAATTATGAATATATACATCAAAATGAATGCAACATCACAAAGCAAGGTGCAAGGTCCTATGTCTTGGTCAGGGCAATCCCAGTCACACCTACAGGTTGGGTGGAGAAAGGACTGA